GAGTCATCCCTGTGGTCACAGTTAATGTCTGTTCTTGGTTCCCATTGTATTTGGACTACAGCGTATCATCCAATTGCCAATGGACTAGTGGAACGCTTACATAGACGGCTGAAACCAGCTATAAAGTGTCCCACCTCCACACAATTGGTTATCAGGTCTGCCTTGGATCTTACTGGGGATCAGAACTGCTCTGTAGGAGGATCTTGGTTGTTGCTCAGCTGAGTTAGTGTATGGCACAACTTTACGTATTCCAGGGCAATTCATCTCTCAATACAAGGAAACTGTTCCTGATCCCTCCTCTTTTGCCACACAGCTCCGTGCAGCAATGCAAGCAGCAAAAGCTGTCTCACAATGCTCACACACTCGTCCATCGTATATTGACAAAAACCTCAATGACTGTTCACATGTTTTTGTTTGACACAATGCACTTCGTTCCACATTACAACACCCGTATGATGGACCTTTCAAAGTAGTGAAGAGGACTGATAAATACTTCACACTGGTAATGAATGGCAAACAGAGTACTGTTTCTATAGATAGAATCATGCCAGCTAATGGTGAGTTTGACCATTCATCTACTCCCACTCCCCTCCCTCACTCTCCTCCCATCTCTCCTTCCCCCACTCTACTCACTCCTACTACTCCTACTACTACTACAGAGCAACCAAGCTCTATTGATGCCTCTCCCCCAACTCTTTCTCCTCCCATTCTCAAAACTGCTAATTCTCCAGTACGAACCACTCATTCAGGTCGTCATGTATACTGGCTAACTCACCGAGCAGCCTACTGTTGAACATTTACGTTCACTTTGTTCACTGGAGGGGGAGTACTGTGGTGGTTATAAGCTCATTGTTATTCATTATAGGAACCACGAGTTTACACGTCGTCAACAACTATTTAATGTACATACACATACATTAATCAGTCTGTCTAATCGTTCGTTCGTTTGTCATCTTCTGGTTCTACTATCAAGTATCAACTCAACAAAGCGTCTCATCATTGCTCTCACTGCACTTTTAGAGAACTGAATTTTATTAGTGAGTCCTATATTGTCAGAATTCTTTGTTATCATTATCTTTATCATTTCTGTAACTTCTCTTTCCCTCATCTCTCTTAAGAACTATTCCCAATCTTCCTTCCTTTCTCTTTTCTCTCTAAATCCCTTATTCCTTTTCTTTTTATTGTCTTTCACTGTTTTGCTAATAACAGTTGTTACGACCACACTACACACTTATTTCACAATTACTCACTTATATTTACAAACTACAGTTTTCACTTCAGATTATAATGACATAATCTTTGGTATTTACAGTACTTCCAAGGAGAGATTTCACCATTGATGATCATGAATAATGCATTAGCAGTTGCTCACGGGGAAACGCGTGAAAATAATTTAAGCAGTACAGCTAGGTAGTAGCTATGGAAGTTACCTTTAAAAGAGCTAAGTTAAACAAATATTGACCAGAAAGACCTACCCCAAAGTGTACAGTAGGCAGTATCAAACTCCAGAGACATTCTCTTCTGTGTTTATACTTACAAACAGCTGCCCAAGGCAGAAAAACGATAGTGGAGCAGTTAAACAGCCTTTTAGGACACAACAGTACTACTTACAGCTCTGCATCATAGCAGGTTCGAACAACTGCACCAAATCCACTTAAGATGCATTTGTAGTCCAAAGATAGACGCATATCTTTGCAGATTCTTATACTTTCTAAACGAAAGAAGCAATCATATTTCTGTAAGCCAGTAATGATTGATGTCAATGAAGAAGATGTTGTACCTGTGCGTTGCAATTTGAATGAAGTCTCAGAATTAAATAACACTGTCAGTGAGCTAAAGTAAGCACCGTCGTATGATGTATTACAAATTAACAGTATTATAACAAGTTTAATAATAATATTATTCCACACTAAGGTACACATTATGATATATATGTATAACTATGCATAAACATCGACGTCAATAGCATAATACTATAGGCAAAAAAATCACGAGATCATTACATTAAACTCTTCAGAAGAAAGTTTCAGAGCCAGTGACTCCACCTCAACTACTCATGATTGCTGAAACAGCTAGCTTGATGAAGTATTCTTTCTCGATTCCTTTGTGTATCGGATGAATTTTATCACAAATTGTCGATGTATCAATCATCTCTTCCACGTTTTTACCTAGTTACAGAAAGATGAAAGCAACTATCATCTAACGTAGCAATTTATAGATTACCTGCTCCATATTTAGGAAGCTATCGCAGGTTGATGTATTTAATAAAAGCACTCAGGTACTATAAAGTAATACATGTGTACAGTAACATATGTACTATTTTAAAAAAGACTGGCACTACTATACCATCACAACTGACAGTAAAACTTCGTGGTGTTAGAGCACCAATCCATCGTTCCTCGTCCTACATTTTTGTCAGTTTCTTTTTTCCTATTATAGATCCAAGCTGTCTCACTGCAGCAGGTAATAAATAATAGAGAAGCGTACACATTTAAAAAATGCAAAGTTTATAATAAACAATTTTATTATACGAAAAGTGATAAGAAATGCATGCACATGTACCCAATGCATGTATGTATGTGTATGTACATACATGTGTACATATACCCCATGCATGCATGTATGTATGTGTATGTACATTGATGTGTACATGTACTCAATGCATGTATTTATGTATGTGTATGTACATACATTTGTATAGGAAATTATACCTTTGCTGCTATTGCTGGTACTGAAGATTACAAAATTCTCAAGAATGGCTTAGCTCCTATGTTAGAAGTCAATTTGATCGTAGCCAACCATCTCATTGACTACAACGAACAATCCATAGAGTTAGATTTTGTCTTGGAGGAAACAAAGTAAGTACTCTGTACTAGATTAAAATGCTTACGTGTGAAAATAGTTTTT